TAGGAGATCCCAGTGCTTCTCTCCTAGCCGCGTCACTGGTATCGTAAAACAAAAAAATAAAAATTAATGTAGTTGGTGTCTGGGTCCGTACAGTAGTGATTGATATCTTGAGCAATGATAAAGCAGACCATACTGTCGTTGGCGTTTAGCTAGAAAGGGAGATATAGAGGATCATCATAATTGCAATAAAATATATAACATTAGAGGCTTGGTCTCATCAGTCAAAGAACAGCTGTTAAAAACTGGGATAAAGATAGAATATGATGCAAACTATTGGGAATGAAAACTTGGTGTAATAAATGGACCAAAAGTACAAACATATTTCAAAGAGAAGAAATTATAATGTACTTAAATCGATTTCTCAGAGGACTAGAATCATCCATTTATTTATTTATTTATGCCTTAAATAAATAAATAAATAAATAGAATCATCCATGTACCAAAAGTAGTATCATTAATGTGCCAAAAATATCTCACCCCAGAAAAGCAACCACTTGTTACGTCAGTGCTCCCAAATCGAAATAAGCAGAAAAAAGTCACTAACTATAAAATAAATTGTACAAAACGATGAAGTGAAACTCTGTTTCAATATCTAAAGGAAACAATTACTATCATTTATTTATCCAGTTTTAAATATTTAATCTAGTCTTATCTTTTTGTCTGTGTTCATAGGATCATGTTACTTGGTGTGCGGTGCGTATTAATTTAGGCATTCGAATTTTTTTTTTTCTTTTTGTACATTTCAGATTTGGTCTTAGATACGTTTCTACGTAATATATGTGTTTTATAATGATGAATATATTAGCATAGTGCAGTTTAATTGAGTGCTTCGTCTAAAAAGAATAGATGAATATGCTGTGTATCGAGTAACACTTTATAGTAGTACAGAACTGCTTTAAATAAAGTATTTCTCTCTCTTGTAAACGAATATTCTGCCGTCAATGAATTTTTGGGATATAGGAGAAAAAATAGAATAATATATTTTATTTTAGTTTGTCTGGCAAATGTTTATACATGAAAATTATCTGCCTTTTTTTTTTACCCATTTATTAGCGAAATATTTTTTTTACGGGCAATGATAAAACCGAGATATATAGGTTTTTGTTGAACTGATAAAAACTTACATAAACGCTTTACATAATTTTTATGATCGCCGTAACGATAGTTAATTAAATAATTGCTATTAAGAAAAACGAATGAAAAAGATCTAATTATATTTTACTAATTTAATTGTACTTATCAGTGTTTCTATTATCATTGTGATTATGAGTGCATACATTTTTTTTAGTTTATTTTTATTTCTAAATATAAAATTGTCTTTTTTCAGTGAATTGTTGAAGTAAATGTGAGAGGCTTTTTTGACAATGTGTATACTTTAAATTCATTATCAAAGTGTCCATTTAATTCTGATATGTTTTCTTAGTTTAAAACAAACAAACAAATATTTGAAATTATAATCAATAAAAAAAATTATGGTGCTTAAAAATTAGAATTTACAGGTAGCTGTAAAGTTTTCAATGTATGTATTTGTTTATTATTTAAGAATTAATTTAATGTTATGGTTTGAAGCCGGCTTAAACATAAATTAATATTTATGATGACAATGTTCGTAAGGAACCGTGTGCAATCGCGGCAGTACATAAATCGGGTTTATCAGCGGGTATTTTCCAGGATTCCTTAAAGATTATATGTTATAAGCCTGATTTTTATAGGTTCGCTTTAACTTGCATGAGGCAGAGCTGTAGGCTTTTCCCAAATAAGGGATACACGGAGGACCGAACTGGGTCACCGTCCATCTTTATCTCCTTCTATGGATTGCAATATAAGTCAGGAGCCATTAGTAAATAAATATATACATTTGTTTTATGACATCGAACTTTATGGCTGTCTCTCTTCTTTTACTGCCGTGTACCACCTGACCTATAGCAATTTAAAAGATATAAACAGTACACTTACTTTAAGGTGATAAAAAAAAGTAATTGGCGTAGGAGTACAGTGGACGATGCTCATATATTAAATACACTAAAGTTCTAATTAAATAAATAAAATTATTATCCCTCAATGACATTTAGTGGTACCCCTACCGTAGAGTCTCCACTTATCGGTATTTCTGATTTTTGATAGAATGTTATGTTACTCAATAAAATAGTTTAAACATAGTGTTGCCCAAAGCCGAGACCGAGGCGAGTCTTGGTCTTACAAACTCAGTCTTGGTCATGGGCTTAGTCTAGTGCAAGAGTCTCCCAACTGTCTTGCAGTTACTTATTAGCTTATTACTATAGAGATATTACTGTAATTTTTTAGATAGGAGAAACCTGACTAAGCCTGAATGAAAAATTAGAGGATTTAAATGCAAAAGTATATTGGTTATACCAGTTATGAACAAACATATACTAACTAAAATTGTCGAGTAGTCTCGAGTAGTCTAGTAACTAAAATTGTCTTACTTTTTATTTTAAAAAATCGATTTTTTTTACTAGTCCTGGTCTTGGTTTTGCAAAGTGCAAAATTTAAAATATTATTTATTTGTTTATTTTTTAACAATAATGATACAATCAAGAGGAACATATATTACCTCTTATTATAAATATTTATTTTAACATATGTGGGTTAAATTTAAAAAAAAAAATCACAAAATAAAATATAAATAAATAAATTCAAAATGATATAAATTCATAACAATAAATTTTAATTAAATAAATAGCAGAATAATTAATGAACAAGATTAAAAATAAGAGCTAAATATTTTCATCATGACACTTTTCGTTTTTTAAGTTTAGTATATTGTACATAGGTGTGAATGTGTTTTATTTGTTTTGTTATTTTTCGGCTGATCTTTTGTTTTAATTATCTTGAATATTACTTTATCTTTTTATTTATATATATATTTTTCTTTTTTATGTACATATTGTGTGAATGAGTATTCATATTAATATGTATTATAGTATTATAGCCCTAGTACCAATGCCTTTCAGTGTGGCAGACTGTATTAATCTCAATAAAAGTTTAAAAAAAAAAAAAAAGTTTAGTGAAATTATTCCATGCTGTATGATCTAACAGATCACGTCTTTACAAATACCTGCTACTTATACAAAAAGTTAACATCTAAGGACAAAAAAATAAAAATAATAATGAATAAATAAATCATGGGATAGTTATAAAAATATTTATGTACATATATATGATATGTGATTGCTCACTGATTTTGTTCCTTCATTCAAAATTTGATCATTCTACATTCAGTTACGTTATAGTTATTTAAGCACCTAATGTCAAATTTAGAAGTATTTATTATCTTTTAGTGAGGAGTTTTATGAATTAATTTTGCTTCAAAGTGATTTCACGTTTGCCTACTTTAAGGAATAATTTTGAGGAAACAAAATTGTCATAATTTTATGAGCAAAACTGATGAGGAAATACTTGGGTAAATGTTGGTGAGTAAAATGTTTGGCCTCTGGCGTAGTAACAATCATGGGCCGTGCTTAATGCTTTAACATGGCGGGGAAAGGAATGTCTAAAAAGGTGAGATATCATTAGTGCTGAATGGGCGTACCAAATTGATATCCATTCCGTGGTGTATGCTTGACCAGATAATGTCGTTCTTGAAATCGCAAAACCATGGCATTCATATTCAGGCAAAAAAATCCGCTAGATTACATCGATTAAACCTTTTTAAAAAAACAAGATGCCACAACGAGCAATTTCCTAACAACTTTGATACTAAAATTCATACTTTAATGCCGTCTACATTTATATTACAAATTTCAACAATTCAAACATAAACATATTAGAGAAGAATCGATAATAAATAAAGAATAAAAATATAATTATTTTCAGTGTTTATACAAAATGAAAAAGGCCTAAAGCAACTAGTTTTTTTCAAATAACTTTAATACTATTTCTTTTACTAACTAAAATGTCAACATTTTAATCGTCCATTGTTAATGGTAATTGTATAGGATGTAAAATCATGAATAGTTTTAAATTAATCAAGACCTGATACAATCTAAACTTTTTAAATAACATTTAAAAAATCTTTTTGATTACTTCTTTTCATAAATATAAATGATAGAATTAATTCGCGAATAACCTACTCGACTTCAGTGTTTGTCTAATTTTATAATCGTGATTTATTAAGTAATTGAGTTTAGATAATAATCTGTTTATAATAATAAAATGCAACATACAAGCACAAAGTTGTGGAATTAGAGTAGGAAGCTTTCCCCTGAGCAAAGAAAATTATTCTTTGTGATAGCGATGCAAATATCCATATTTCAATATAATGAACTTCGATATTTAATCTTAGAAAAAGGACAGATGGAAATATTGGACAAAAATGTCGAAATATCAGAAAAATATTCAGTCTTTAGATGTAGAAGTTTAACATAATTCCAACATACATACATGTATTTTAAATATCGATATTTTTCCAACGAAATTAAAATACCGAACTAAAATATGAGTGTATTTTTATAAAATGTCTACTCTGTGATCGACTGTTTTAACAAATCATTCGTTTTTCTTTTTACTACGTCGTTTTCAATTTTATTGCTGATTAAATGCCAGTATTGTGTTCATTTTTATTAGGTCGCCTTAGTCGCCTTTTATTATATCTGTGGCACCTGTGCGAAAATCATATGGAAAAACGCAATTGAAGTTTGATATTTTCACAGGTGCAAGTTCAATTTTCTAGTTTCAATCTCACGGTTCACATGATACCCATAAAAATTCACAAAATTGTACTAAACTCACTTTCCACAGGTGCCAAAGATATAAATGTGTAAAATATGTTTCTGCGCCTCTAACTACAGCTCAACTATTCATCACTAAGTTTATCGGTGCGATCTAATTCTTCTCCCCACGGGACCTGATTCAGTTGCCCCGGTATCCTACCGCCATCATCCGCCATTCCTCTTTCCCAGAAAGTGGTTTGATGGTATGCCCGCCGAGGACTGAGGCCAGGTGATTAGGGCAGCCATTGTTACTCCAAATTGTAACTAATGGATGTTGCTACAGTTCCCTCGCCAGAGCTAACTCCTTGGGGGATTTGCTCTGACTCTGAGGTAATTGCCATATTTGTCTTGCGCCGCAGTACTCGTCTCCTAGTCCGACAAGGAACTAAATTGGGCACCGCTAATGAGGATCTATGGCATCATCTTCCTTGCCCATGTTTAGCAAGTTATGCTGGAATAAATGTAATTGAAAAAGTTTATTACGTCAGAACATTTATTACCAAAGAGGGATATGGTCGAAGTACTTATTTGAGAAATGACTATTTTTTTCTGTTGGTATTACTTACCATGTAGATCTTTTGCCGCCTTAACAAGCCTGCTCCATAACTGCCTGTCTTGGGCTACTCCTTCCATTTATCTGCACGCAGCTCTGTTGCATCTTTGTTGATTCTATCTATCCATCTGCTTTTTGGTATTCCGCGTGATCTTTCGCCTTCTATTGAGACATTCATTGTTACCTAGAGGCTTCCAGATGGATTGCTACGAGCTACATGCTTCGCCCATCTCAACCTCCGTGCCTTCATATCATGGGATATTGGTTGACCATGTGTTAGTACTGTGATCTCAGATCGCTCTGGTTATTGTGCGGGGGATTTTTCTCTCAAATCTTTTAACACTTTTGTTTAGGGTACTGGTTAGTGTTCAGGTCTCGCAGCCATATAATAAAACTGACTTTATCATAGCATTTTACACCATTAATATGACATTTTTCGAAACTTCAATACCTTTGAAGGGAAAAAAAAGCTCTGTTTGCGTTAGTTACGCATACGCCTAACTATTTCTATTTCTGCCCATTGGCCATCCATTGAAGTTATTGTGGAGCTGAGATATTTGAATTTTTCTACTCTCGGGAACGATTCTCCTTCTATACAGATCCTGGTATTGGGGTGAAAACTTCGGCTTACTATCAAATGTTTTGTTTTATCTTCATTTACTTGTAGACCGATCTGCTCTGCCTCTCTTATCGGAGTCTTAGCGAGTTTCTCAATGTCCTCTCGATTACTTCCAGAGACAGATATATCATCTGCTTATCCATATATCAACCAGCCATTTTATGAAATTAAATACCAAAAAATAATTAATTTTTGGTAAAGTTAAGTAAAGTTCGGCCAATGCTCTTCCGACATTCTCTTGCAGTGCCCATACCACCAAAAATTGACTTTTTCCCGCTTTTAAAATTACAAGTGTCCGTTGTTGATATGGAGCCACTCCGAATGGAATTTCTTGTATTTTAAATCGCGAAATCTCACCAGAGTCCGTTTATGTTGATTAAATATCACATACGCCTTGAATTTTATACGTGATTCCCATACATCAGAGAAGGCCAAGGTTTTCTTAGTCTGAATCCTCGGCGAACCGTCGTAAAACAAGCGGGCAGCGGGCAGGCCACTAAATATCTAGGGAGAGGGGGGCGTAGGCGAATTTATCGCCCCCCCCTTGAGGGTGATAAAAGATAAGCTCTCCCGAAGAACATTACCTTTTTATGTCGCATGAATACGAAATGCCTCTTTGCTGGTGATTGCTCTTCTCTGGAATGAGTTGTTGCTAGCCACATATCTCTAGTCGAGACACATTTTTCCACGCCTAGTTCTAGACTAGATTGTATAAATGTTATCTGAATGACTTCAAAACTGATTCAGATTATCTTCTACTTCATTAGCTCTTATCTCCAACTCTCGTTCCTTCATTTCGTTCTCTTGAGGTTTATTTATAATTTATATTCAGGAACAAAGAAAAAAAACTTTATTTATTAACTTATTCCCATTCTTTTTGGATTTACTATCTATAACGACAAATGTTTCACGGCTTTATTTTTTATTTACGGTTCTGTCTATTGCATGTATAAAAAATTAAAAGTTGTACAGAATTTTATTCTATATACGAATGAACCGATACAATTATTCTTCTATGAACAACGGTTATCAACGGATTTTAAAATCGACGCCTTACTTCCAAAATTTCACTGAAAGTTGAATCTCCTAAATATAATCCTAATATCTTATATTTAATCATTGCTCACTTATTTTTCATAAAACAGAAAAGTGAAAATTAGAAAACAGGTTATTGTTATAGATCATAGATTTTAAAAGTTTAACAGAGATTTATGTAATAGGTTATATATTGAGCAAAGTGTATATAAAAAGTTTTTTAGGATATTCTGAAGATGGCTGAAAGCCGAAATGCGCATAAAAAGTAAAATTGCATAATAAAGCAGATTTTTCCCCCTTCTCTTCCGCGCCTTTTAGGCTACATGGGATTTTCCAGGACCAGGGGGCGCGGGTGGGGGATCAATGCTAGAGTTAAAAGCCCACCCGGGTAGCGGGAAGCGAAGTCGTACTTATTTTATCTTCTACGACTTCAGTTATCAGGTTGCCAGGCAACGCACTGTGTCCAGTGTCATGGACATGCGTTAGACTACTCGGCCACCTCGCCCAATAAAAGATATTTGTGGGACAGAGGATCAAGAAAGCTTTTTTTATTTATTAACATTGGTGTCCCATCCATTCTATTCACAATAATTACTCAATTATTTATTTAAATAATTACAATCTGTCGTGCTATGGTTTTAGCCATGTTATTACTTATCTATCAATATACAACAAGAAATATATATTTACAACTTTTATTTTCTTTAATATAAATATATTTTTATCATGTTCCTATATGTATATTTTAAAAACTGACTAACGTTGTAGAAGTAAGCTGTCTTCATCCTACATGAATTTTTTCCGAATGTAATTTTGTTGGAAAAGTCATTTGCAATATATACTAAAAACAAATATTTTACTGTACTTTTTTTAAGGTAAAATTTTCAATTGCTCTGGACCATTAGTAGAATGAAAAAAAAAAACTCGTTCTGAAATTGCTATGATACTTCGTTCCCTTCATCCGTTTCTAAGATGAGATACCTTTCTTTAAATGTGAACTAAGTATATTGTTTCGAACGTAGATGTAACCTCTACTCATTAATTTCACGATTGAATGTGACTTATTCTCTAAATAATGGTGATTCTCTAAAAATTGGTTCTGAAAAGAAGGAAAGCAATTACCGCAAATATTTTTAAGTATAATCGTTGTATTATACTATTTCTCATCTCTGAAGTTGATGGTTGTAAAAGGAATTGCCCAGGGTTTGACTTCTTGCTGAAGCATCTGCGACGGTGGGCTGGTGTCCTATTTTCTACTACATTTATAATGGCAACTTTAAACTATTACTCCGGTTGCCGTTGCCAAGTCCTGCCTTCCAACTGCAAGTGTTGTTACTTTACGATTTATCGGCTATTACAGGCGCCTAGGCCGTCGAGACCTTTAGAAGTGAAATGCGTGTTGCGCAATGACGTTCTGTTGATCTTGGGACTCCTGAGGCGTTGCGCAAACCAGTGCGCACCACTTAGACGTCCTAAACCAATTATTTGCTCGTTTGCTGGTGTGTCGATTCGTCCTGCCCTGCTGTCCTTCCCTGGTGGAGCACTGTAAATATTGACTTAATTTATAATCAAGGTTGGCTTGGACTTTTCAAATGTTTGTTCGATGATATTCTAAAACATCTGGTCTGTTTGGTGAGAGTACATATACTGTATGTGTATGTATATACTGAATCAACTTCAAGAGAAAATTTATTCATCTCCTTATCGGAGAATACTTATTAAATGGGAACGTTTACTTTCGAAAACATATACAGTCGAATAGAACAGAGATCTCCAAACTGCTGCTCGCCAAAGTATCTTTGATTACATGATAAAACTTAGAAAACTATTTTAAAAATATGAAATTTAGTAAACCACTCAAACACACTCTTACTACAACATTTATTATATCGGAGAAGGAGTTGATCGGGGGGTGCGGTCAAATTAATACTAAATTAAATTAGTACAATTTTTTTTTTATTTCTTTATTGAGTATTACAACAATCTGTCTCTTGGACATTGGTTATAGTGAGGTAGGATGACATTCACACTATATGTACAAAAAAAATAAAATAAATAGAAACAAAATAATAATCAAAAGTATATACAATAGATAATAAAATAAAAATAACCTAAAAAATAATAAAATTAAAACTAAGCAAAAAAAAAAAAAACACATGGATACCTGTATACAATCAGGCGAGGGAACTCCAGGAGAACCCTGCGCTACTCTATCAACCGCGTCACTGGTACTAAAGCCATTTATTAAATAGTTCTACTTATTTAATTTAGTATTAATTTGACCGCACTCCCCGATCAACTCTTCCTCATATTATATCAACGGTCAACCATCTCTACATCATTTATTAAATCGGTTGTTTCTATTAGAAGGCTCATTTAACAAATTAAGTGTCATTTATTAAACAAGTTTTTTTTTTTCAAGAGAATTCATGATCCGCGGGCCAAAAAGTTTTGAGGACTCTGGTATAGAACATGATGAAATGTTTGATTAGTTTGTCCGTTGGCATGAATCAGCGTCTTCAACTGAAATCGGCCTTAAGCAAAAATTGCCTTGTCTATGTTCAGTTTAAGAGTTGTATCAGTTTGTAGAGTGCACATTTGATTCATTCTTGGTTGGGGAAAAATTTATCAAAACTGAACTTTGGCAAATATTATCATGTGATCAACATTATCATTTTAATGTGAGATTTTTTTATAACAGAATGATGACAGAAATCAATTCAAAACAGTCCCTCTATAATTATTTTGAATTGCTATATAATTTTACCTCTGCACAATAGGGGGATGGCCGTGTTATGAATATGTATTACATGCTACCCATTATAATCGTACTGCGAACGTAGCTCAATAACCAACTTATTCATCGCCTTGTTAAATTGCGCAACTGTTCAACACAATATTGTCAAGGTTTTTACCGATTCTAATTGTTGTGCCATAATCGTAGATTATTTACTAGAGGTTATAAAAAAATAAGAAAAAACCCGAAGTGCCTCTTATATTCTCGGTCCCAGGTTCGATTCTAGGCCGTGGTGTATAATTATTTATTGTGTTATAACAGCCATGTATCTTCCTTAGATGATCCTTCTGGGTCGCAATCAGTCGCTATAAAGTGTTTACTCTCGATTAATTAATCAAGAAAAGAAATCTGGAGGTTTAGTGTATTCACAGCCGAATCATCTTGCACAGCCGTTCTGCATAAAAACAGTACTTCCTTAAAAAAGTAATAAACCCAAGCTCCTCCTTGGGCTGTACAGGATTCGGGGTAAATATGTTCATCATACAGGCAGTCCTGTGCAAAAGGATTCGACAAATATTTCTACTTTTCGCGTTGCCCATGCGATGGACTGAACAAATCACTTCCCAGCTCTGGTAAAACTAACAATGAGGAACTGATCTGATAGGTGCGTTCTATCTGGCGTGCTGTTTTATCGATCTAGATCAACAAGGCCTTTTGTTTTCACTTTTCTAAAGGAGAATTAATAGTTTGTTTATGTTGACAAAACTATCGCCATATCAGGAGGAGAGGGAGCTAGAAAACAGTTTTGAAGCAAGAAACATTTTTTAAATATTTATCTATATGTAAGGTTTCTATTGTTCTAGTTTCACTTCTATTATCTAATCTTTGGTCCTACATCTTACGTATTGCATCATTTAATTTTTGGGGAATGGTTACTATGGCATTTGTGACTTTTTTATTCTATCAATTTTTTTTATAAATGTTGCCGAGTATAACATATCTTTGTTAGTCTAGGTTTCTACGATCTAGGGGGCGGGGTGGCCGAATGGCCTAAAGCGTGTGCACAGCACCGCGAGTTGCCTTGCAACCGGATTACAGATATGAGAAGATTTAAAAAGACACGAGTTCGCTTCCCGGTGACAAAGGGGTTTTTAAATTCACAGCCCTCACTCCCCGGCCCGGGAAAATCCCGTATAGCCTAAAAGGCGAGGTAGGGAAGAACAAAAAAAAAAAAAAAAGTTTTCTAGGATTTTCTGAAGATGACATGTGGAATAAGAAAAAAAATACATATCGATTGCTTCGGAGAAAAGTCCGAGTAGATGTACAGACTGATTTCGTTTTTATTTTATTCTTGTTTTCCACATTTTTGAAACACAAAATCCCAAAGTTGGAGTTGGATTAATTTTCGTTTTCTTAGTCGATTACAGAGTTCCGTTATTGAAAATAGTAAACCACTTATAAATTAATGATAATTAACAATATACACATGTGTCTTGCTTAAAATCTGTCGGAGATTTCCAAAACATCCTCTAAATATTTATTGATAATTGGTAAATGGTTGACTGTCGTGGATAATGAAGAGAATAATAGTTGGGGTGGTCAGTCAAAAAAGAAGGCAAAAATAAATGATAATATTTATTTTATATAAATATTTATTGCTTTGAACTTCTAATAACGCCAAGCAGGTTTTAGTAATTCATACTTTATATCGCACACATAGATGCCATCTAAAGCATATACTCCATATTTGACAGTTATATAGCCTTTCCCTCTAGAGTATAATTCTGTGACAAGCAGCAGATGAGACCCCTTTCCAAAAGAATAAAGTTGATGAAATAAGGGCTTGATAGAACCCGGCAATGTTACCATCGAGGGGATCGAAATTGATTGGCTGATATCCCCTTCCAATTCCGTGTCGTCCAACGTCCAACCATAAATGAGGATAGAATAATATTTGGGCTCTTATTTCATCTCTTCTGTTTATCTTCTATCTTGGGTCAAAATTTCGGTCAAATTTAGCTTTGAAAATTTAGCTTTCTGAGCGTTCCTTTTTATTTTATGAACTATTTATTTGAAACTGATACACAATTAACTCTACTCCATAAAAGCTCCCTTTCTACTCATCTCTAGTAATTATGATTTTATATTTGAAAGTTAGATGTATAGGCGCTGTCACTCGGGAACAAGACCTTCCCTTCCCTTCCCAATATTTTATGAACGGGAGCCAGTCCACTGTTTCGCAATCATTTATTTGAAATAACTCTTAAAAAGTTCAGTAAACTGTATAGATAATAATTATTATTTTTTTCATTATGCAGGTTTCATCTTTCTTCTTTTTACGGTGATACATTTGCCTAATGGTTAGAATAAATTAATCAGATGGGTCTTTGATTGCAGTTTGTTGAATATTTCAGCAATATTTTATAAGTCACAAAATTTAATACAATAAGATGGGTTCAATGTTACTTAACTAAATTATAAACGAGGAGAGGAACGAAGATTCCCTAAAAATTTCAATAAATTGCAATCAAAGACTCATTTGATTAATTTATCCTGAAGATTAGGCAAATGTATTTCTTTAATAATATTACATGTTGGTATTTATTATTGCTTATAAATTGCATAATATATTATGCAATAAATCAGTGAACAAATGGCAATATACTCGTAATCTGGAAGTAAGTAAATTCAGAGAGAAATTAATTTTGTTAACCTTTATCAATTGTAACGGTGCGTTCCAAATAAAAAACAAAAACATGTTTGCAAAGTACAATTGGTTCTATCCTTGCTAACAATAAATGGTCAGATTTGGGTAATATATTTATTTTTTCTAAGGAATTAGGAAATATTTCTAACTCTAAACAGTATATAGCAGCAATAATAGTGTAATTTGTGAATTATGCGAAAATACAATTTCCTAATCATCATAGCTGATTTTCCTGGGAGATATTGTTATTTTTTCCTTCTGAAGGATATAATCTTAAAAATAATGGCTCATTTATTGGATTTGATTCAATATATATATATATATATATATATATATATATATATATATATATATATATTGAAGTTAATTTTACTCAAATAAAAATCGGGTCTTTGCAGGCGTTTATTATGCTCATGATTTTATAAACGAAGGGCTAGATATAAAGTGTACATTTATGCAATGGAAAACTTCCCACTGGAAGGATTTGTCCAGATCCAGTAAATTGGTTCGGAAAATCTCGAAGATGCCCTGGAGATAGCCGTAAGATCCCTTGAGGAGAGGACTCACTGAAGGTTTCGCCAATTAGTGGAGGTCAACACACGGGGATGGTATCGCTCCGTATAGCCAGGTCCTCGACCTTCCTATAAATTTCACTCCTATCTTTCAGATATATTATTTAATTTATTTGTTTAATTCTATAAGTAAATTAATTAATTAATTAGTTTTGCTGAGTTTTAAATATCATATTATAAATATACAGTTCGGTTTTTTTATATTTCATTGCTGAAAATCTTGTTTTTGATTGTGAATGTTCTTCAGTTTTTAGTATTGTACTAATTAGTATGGTTTCTTCTTAAATACTCAACTTGAAAGATGTCAAAATTATCATGAATATAATAGTGGAGAAATGCTTGACTGTAGATACTTCATCAATATAATAAGGATTTATTATAACATTAATAAATACTATTTATTATTTTGTGGGGTATTTATTTCATAAACATACTGTAAAGTATTGAAAATAACAATTATCGACGATTTGTAAAATATTTGGACTAATTTTTATATGATTTTTTTTCATAAACGAACTAGGATGAACGCATCG